TTATTCTGAAGACGATCCTAGCATCGTCGAAATATTGGTTTTTGTTTTATCTATTCAAGAAGTTTGAGAACTGGTTGAGCTACCTTTTGTATTTTTAAAATTACTGTTTATTTACTTGTAATATTTGCCCGTGTTTTCTATCAAATTCAGACAAATTTCTAATTATGGAAAGTAACAAAAGTGAGAGTGGGACATGAAGGTGACCAGTGATAGAAGACAGCTACCAGGTCGAGATAAAAAAAACTTGGTACAAGTATAGGTTGCCCAAATTGTTCACAGGTCATCCTATTGGAGCTGTTATTCTGAAGAAGACGATCCTAAGCATCGTCAAAACGTTGGTTTTTGTTTTATCTATTCAAGAAGTTTGAGAACTGGTTGAGCTACCTTTTGTATTTTTAAAATTACTGTTTATTTACTTGTAATAATTTGCCCGTGCTTTCTATCAAATTCAGACAGATTTCTAATTATGGAAAGTAATACGAGTGGGACTAGGACTAGGACTAGGGCATGAAGGTGACCAGTGATAGAAGACAGCTACCAGGTCGAGATAAAAAAAACTTGGTACCAGTATAGGTTGCCCAAATTGTTTACAGGTCATCCTATTGGAGCTGTTATTCTGAAGACGATCCTAGCATCGTCGAAATATTGGTTTTTGTTTTATCTATTCAAGAAGTTTGAGAACTGGTTGAGCTACCTTTTGTATTTTAAAATTACTGTTTGTTTATTTATTTATTTGGGGTGCTCCCGAGCTCATAGTATACCTCAATAGTTGTGGTTAGACTAACTTATTTTCTTGCTACTACATGTATTTACTTCGAGAGGGTACCCTGCATTCAGCTACATGGATCCTACAACTCAACATTCAGAAAAATCTAATATTCAACGATAAAACGAACCTGTTTTTTCAAGTTAAAGAAGCTTTATAAACAAATGATTGGATGTGATAAGATTTAATGACGACCTAAAATGATGAAAACTTGATCGCAGCCAAAGCTATGGTAATGGTTGCCTACTTACAAACTTCTGACCCAGATATCTTACAAATACTGTAATGGTTGGTATATGACACATACATTGTACATGTATATTAAAAGCTATACGTTTTTCTGTCCTATTGCAAATGTGAGCTCAGTCAATTCGATATTCAAAATAGTTAATATATGTACCTGACAGTTGACGTGTACATTAAAAAAATGGTCAAGAGGCTGTGAAACAAAAGGCATATATGTAATCTCGTCAGTGTCATAGTATTATTCTGCTTTGTATGAGCACGCATGAATCGAGCATGCACATACAAAGTGCGATCCAAAAGTCCATTGTTTTGGAATTGTAAAGAACTGTCAAATGAAATGGACAACTGGCTTGAATTTCAAGATTGTTACACATGTGTATAATTAGTTTATAATGAATCATTCACATACCGGTACACATTGAGTACAAGCGCAGTCATCTGGGTTGATTATTTGTATTCATATTGCCTTGCTTATTCTCGACGGACACGGCAGAATCATTTTCTATACACCTTATCCTGCCAGCTGCATGCAATTTTACATTGACTTGACGAGATAAGGGATACAGAGCAAAATCAACATACTGAAACAAAATAAAGTGCTACAGTGTTCATTCTGAAATTGATATACGTGTTAAATAATCTATTGTATCAGTGATTATATAACTAATCACTAACATCCACAATATATGAACAATGAAAAGATACAATACATTGGTGAATCTGCAAACTAATGTATTGAAATTATGGTTATCATATCTATCTATCAATCTATCAATTCATAATCTATTTATTTATTTATTTATCAATCCCTCCTTCCTCATCACTAGTACTTCCATTATCCTTTTTCAAATCTGCATCATTGGTCTCTTCTTGATGGTAGTCATCCTCAAGGTCCAACCCTTCATCACTTTCCTCTTCACTGCTATCATCTGACGATTCATAAACTATATTGGGTCTATTTGTGTTTACAAACAGATCATCATCATTATCTTCTTCCTCGCTGGTATACCGATCACTTTCTTCGCTGCCACCTAGTATGTTCTCTACTGTACAAGTTGACACTGGCATGGACTCTTCTTGTTGACTTTTTTCCATATACTCAACAGGCCTAATGTGTAAAAGAATCATACAAAATTTATATGGAAATAATCCAGTGTTCTCCCCAGGCTCAGAGGCAAGCATGGCGGTCTAATTTGCATGCTAATTTGCATACTAATTTGCATATTTTTCAGGATTCACTCTCACAAAAACAAACATACAAGACAGTATTAAAATGTATGAGAGACTTTATTTAAATTACATAATACTTTACATAATATACCATAATTTAACAAGATCGTCATTTAATGTGAAACTGTTCCATAAAACTTAGTCTAAACTAATCCTTCTGACTTTGTTGTGCTCCAAACATTGGCTGCCTTACTGTAGTTAAACTCGATCGTCATAGACGTGCACGGGACTTTGTTCCATAAAGAAGATCCACTCTTTGCAATCATGTTGTGCTTTGAGCATTAACTGCACAACATTCCTAGTGGGAAAAAATGATAAATAATAAAAAAAACCAATGAGGATTGAGGTTCAAATAAATGTAAACATAACGATTGAATTGTGCCACGATCGGGAACCCAGTGCTGTATGGATAGCATTTCGTCTGCAAAACATGTTGTTTACATGTTGGTTTTGTCAGGTCAACGACAAGGAGACTCGGGAATTTCGAGGAAAAAAAACATCACTATTCAATTAAAATGAAAACGTAACAATAGAATTATGTATACAAATCGGGATTCCATCAATCATAGCGCGTGATGATAGCAGCTGTCGTTCGCAAGACGTTGACAGGCCGCCATCTTGGAAATACCTACACAGGTCAACATGTGACCGGAAAATTACAAAATTCGATTTTTTTTTTTTTGCTTGGACAAATTATAACATACGCGTATCCCATTAATCTATTGAAGATATCCATAAATAATCTAAAAAAAGTTGACAGTAACGAGTGATGTTTTTTTTTTCATGTCGTGTCTATACCAACCTCGTGTCTAAGATGTTGATTGAAATCGGTGTAGGCCTACCATGTTCGGTGTTCTTACGATCGGCAAAACATACACACACTGGCATTTTATTTCTAAAATTACTAAATCTTACCTGAACAATTGACCTTAACCAGGGAAATGTCTTTTCCCACGACTCATCAAAACCAGCCTCACGCAGTTTCTGTGTTTCTACACGCTTTCGTTTCTCTGCTGTGCTAGCGGTGATTGTACGTTTTAGCCGGGCAGCATCACCTTTTTTTCCTTTACATGTTTTGTCATATAGCATCTCGGTGTTTGCAACTTGAGTGACAATTTGTTCCCCATTGACAGCGTCTGTACTTCACACGTGTTTAACAATAGGACTGTTTAATTTGTCCCGGCAAGTTCAAAGCGCCGTGGCGTAGACGGTGATAATTTATGCAGTGCTACGTGTGAGCAGGTCAAATGGACGTAAACAATGCATCCTATTAGCATGGCGGTGAAGTTGTAAGCATGGCGGTCCGAGCCCAAGCGTGGCGGCCGGGTCGCCAAGCATGGCGGTGCCGCCATGCTTTGTTCTATGTGGGGAGAACACTGTAATCATACTCTGCAGATGCTTAAATAATCAAAGAAAGCTTAGAAAGAACTCCCGTGTGCTGAGAGTATTGGAGACACATTAAAAAATAATTCAAAATTACTTGAACTTGATATATTGATGGAAATGCAGAAAACTAATTATGCAAATAAGGTAACTAATATGAACACATTTAAGTGTAAAACTAATAAGGTCTGCGCAATGTAAAAGTAATAAGATCTGCGTAATGTAATATCTATGTACCAAGTTTCATTGAGATGTGATTAGAACCAAAAAATTATTAATTATTGTGCTAATTAAGAGAATTAATATGAACAGATTTTAACCCAAAATTAATCAGGCTGTCTATTGTCCTAGAGCATTTATGTACCAAGTTTTATTCAAATGTGATGATCAATACTTGAGATATCAGTATTAATTAATTATGTTAATTAGGTGATTAAGAAGCATAAATATTTACCAAAACTAATATGGTGTATAGTCCTACACATGTAGGTTCATTGAAATGTGATGAGTACTCTTTAAAAGTTTCATTAAAATTCAATGAGTGGTTCTTAGGACAAATTAACTAATTATGCAAATTAGTAGTTAATATGCACAATAATTTATCCTAAAATTAATCAGGTCTCTGCATAGTCCTAGAAGATCTATGTCGCAAGTCTCATTGAAATGTGATGATTAGTACTTGAGATATCAGGTGAAGGGCTGAAAATTAACTAATTATGCTAATAAGGTGATTAATATGCACAAATATTTCTCCAAAAACTAATTAGGTCTCTGCACAGTCCTCAAGTAACTATGTACCA